GAATTTCAAAACAAAACAAAAACCTCTCCACTGAATTTTCTGATGGACTCCATGATGGGCATTCCATCTTCGCCTCTTCCCACACTCCTGACATTCCTCACAAGCATCAAACCCTGTGGCAGAGGAGCCTGTGACTTGACGGCTGAAGCCTTCTCCATCGGAAGGCACGAACATTTCCTCAGGTCTTCTCCACATTGACTGCACTGCCGGGAAACCCACCTCACCCCGGTCACAGTGGGCTGCAGAGCTGACTGACTTCGGGGTGCGGATCACCCACACAGCGCCTGTCCTGACTATAGCTCCTCTTCATCCCTGCCCAGCTTAGAGAAGGCCGGACAAAACCAGCAGGCCCAGGGCATGCGAGCATTCTGCCCAGGAGCTGCCCCAGGCCTCGGTCCTCTCCCCTGAGAACCGCGTTCCCTCACACAAAGCCTCAAACTGTCCAGACTGTGGGTCCCGGGACCTCACAACCCCACACCTAGTCCTCACAGGGCAGCCAGCGCCATCTCTCCTTCCTGTGCCAACCCTGCCTTCCGGACGCCCCCTGTACCTTTCATTTTCCACGGCAACTGAATTTTAATAACTGGTTATTAAATAACTGAATGGGCCTGGCCGAAAAAAAAAAAAAAAACCTGGGTCGTGGTGTGGAAAGACATCTGTGGGATGGCTTAGGGACTCTCACCATTGTCACCCTTGGGCTCACCTACTCCCAACTCCGGAGCCCGGCAGCACAGGCCGCGGTCGGGGGCGGGTTCTCAGCTCTCAGCACACCGACTTCATTGGTCAGAGGCAAAAGGCTCTCCCCCTCAGCCAATCAGCGCGGCGGTCCGTGCGCCGGGCGTCCGTGCACGGGGGTCCCGCAGGGGTCCGTGCACGGGGGTCCCGCAGGGGTCCGTGCCCGTCCCGCCGGCTTCCTGCAGGCCCGGCTTGGGAAGCAGCTGAGGTCGGTAGGCTAGCCTGCGTGAGTCCTTCCTCAAGTTATCACCGAAGTCATCCGCGCCACCTTCCCGCGAGCTCTTACCCAGGCTCCAGCCCATCCCTAAGGCGTCATCCAGCCAGGTCTTTGGACAGAGCAGGCGGTTGAGGTGAACCAGTGTATGACAAAGTTGCTTCCTAATTTTTTTTTAAAGTACAAGTTTGGGGAGGGGTGGGGGGAATCCCCAGTGCCTATAAAACTGTATCACATAATACAATGTTAATAACAATTAAAAAAAAAATAAACGTTTCCATCTTCCAGAACTGTACATTCTCTCCCCCCCGCCGCCCCCCCCAAAAAAAGTACAAGTTTGCTTTTAGGAACATGTTAAAGGACGACAATGATAGGTATCAGGAAACCCATGAATTCCCTGAGTTGTACTTTTTTTTTTGGCAATTTTAAAAATAAAGATTTATTTATTTTTATTGTAAAGGCGGATATACAGAGAGGAGGAGAAACAGAGAAGAAGATCTTCCGTCCGATGATTCACTCCCAAAGTGGCCGCAACAGCTGAAGCTGAGCCAATCCGAAGCCAGAGGCCAGGAGCTTCCTCTGGGTCTCCCGCGCGGGTGCAGGGTCCCAAGGCTTTGGGCCGTCCCCAACTGCTGTCCCAGGCCACAAGCAAGGAGCTGGATGGGAAGCAGGGCTGACGGGATTAGAACCGGCACCCATGTGGGATCCCGGCGCGTTCAAGGCGAACACCTTAACCATTATGCTATTGTGCCAGGCCCTTTTTTGCAATTCTCAAGGAACTTGTTAACAGCCTTTGCCTTAGACCAGTCACTCACAAGAATACCTATAAAAACCGATTCACAATGAGCAATAGCCCTGATCTCTCAGTAATAGGTGGGACACCAGCATCTAGTGTGAGGGTACCAGGCTTCGAGCGCCCACTCCAGCTGCAGCTTCCTGTTAATGCACACCCTGGGAGGCAGGAGGGGCCGGCTCCAGTACCTGCCACCCACATGGGAGACCCAGCCAGAGTTCCTGGCTCCCAGTTTTGGCCTAACTCAGCCCTGGCTGTTGCAGGCATTTAAGGAATGAACCAGGAGATGGGAGAACTCTTTCTGATAAAATGTTTAAAACGGGACCATTTAAGACAGTATACCTTACTTTAGGTTAAAAGTGAGTAAAAACGTACAGACACAAAGATCAACAAGCAGCACTTGTCCAGTTATGGAAGATAAAGGAGAACAAGGACGAGGAGTGGGCAGAGTACGTAGATCGGAAGGCAGGGGCCGCCTTGGAATGCTCGGGCAACAGTGAGACTTCCAGGGTCAGGGTGAAACTGGTACAGTCCTACTGAAATCGTAATGGGTTGTAATGCAGTGTGGAATACACATCAGAAAGGCATCATGTTGATAAAAACTACATAGACTTTATCCAAAGTGTTGGTTTATCATTAAGTTTGATGAGAGAAAGAAGAAAATATACACTAGTAGATGGGTATAGCTTCAAAAAGCCTAAGAGTTATTTCAGAGTATTGTGAGGCTTGCTTCTCTTAAAAATGACTAAGCAGCTAGCTTTGTGTTGTAGCGCCTAAACCACCACCTAAAACCACTAAGCCACTGCCTACAAAGCTGGCATTTGATATGAATGCCAGTCTAAATCCGGACTTCAGACTGGCCCAGTCCTTCCCCTCCCTCTGTAACTCTTTCAAGTAAATAAATAAATCTTTAAAAAAGAAGCACTGCGCTCAGGGTTGGGAGGGAGATGGATTGAACATCTGACAAACAGTGGAGGTGGTGGCAGATCCCTGGAGAGAACAGCATAAAACCCTCACTAGCAATTTGGTCCACAGACTTCTGAGAACAAAATGTCCAACAGGACGCACAGTGTGACCCTTCTGTGAAGGAAACCCTTCCACGGCTCATGGCACACATGTACATGTGGGATTCTTGTGTGTGTGTGTTCAATTCTGCATCAGGACTGGCAAGCGGTGACAAACAAATAAAACCTCCAAACGCAGCAATCACAAGTTCAAGGGAAAGGTAACATCCAGTTCGTACGTGGTAAAATTACAGTTTGGACACAACTCAAGTTGAGCTCCAGAAAGAGAAACAGGGCACAATGCACCTGTAATCACCCCAAGGGAGCAGGCGGGTCAGAGGACCTCCCCAACTCGATTTTGAGCTCAGCTGGAGGCTGAGGCACCTGCAAGAATGTGGAAACTGTGTTTGACTACTTTTATGTGAACAGCCCTTAAGTCAAGGGTATCCGTCTTGGGGAGACACCTACATTGGGGCGCACAATAAACCTACTTGTGGATTTTGGTTGTGGTTGCTTATAATTCCAAGGACATGACTTAAATTCATTATGTTCAGATCGATGCAGTAATTAGTAATAGGAAATGTACAAAATAGTTCAAATAAAGCAGTAACGGTCTGTCTGAGGCCCAGCACCAGGGGTAAGAGCATGGACCAGGCTGTGGTGGCTCCCACCCTCACTAGCTTTGTAATCATGACCAAATTGCTTAATAATCACTCCCTTGCTCTGTCCTCATCTCTTGAATTGGAATAAGAATATCCACATTACAACACAACTCCATATATTAAAAATCACTTGACTGACTACTTAAAACGGGTGAATTTTATAATATGTAAATTACTCTCCCCCTAAATTTTTTTTTTAAATAAAAAGGTAAACTGTTGGGCACTGTGTAAGTATGTCATAAATATTAATGATTAGTATTAGAGTAAGATAATTAGAAACGAGAACAGTGAGGATATATAAACGGATTTTGACAGAAAGAATCAAGGATTTATTGGGCTGGGTTATAACCACAAAGATCCTTCGATTCAGCTCCCTCCCCACCTTTTACAGGTAACAGAACTAGAGACCAGTGAGTGAAGGGCCTCGTCCAAGGACTGGTTCAAGCTCAGCCCCTATTAGGGCCTGGTGCGGTAGCCTAGTGGCTGAAGTCTCTGCGTTGCATGTGCTAGGATCCCGTATGGTGACCCTGCACCCACGGGGGAGATCCAGAAGAGGATCTGGGCTGCTGGCTTCAGATCAGCACAGCTCTGGCCATTGTGGTTGCTTGGGGGAGTGAAATCATCGGACGGAAGGTCTTCCTCTCTGTCCTTCCTCCTCTCTATATATCTGACTTTGCAATAAAACAAATAACTCTTAAAAAAAAAAAAGATCAGGCCTGCTGGATCCCAATTGTGAAATTTGCACCACCACCCACTAGTTCAGAAACAGGCACACATGGAGAATGTGTGCAACATACAGAACACGGAATACACAACAGATATTCAAGAAAGGATGCCAAGACCAAAGGAACAAACCAAGAAGCGACGGTCCCATCTGTCCTGTCCCCCAGGGCCCCTGGCAGTAGGCTCTGGGTCATGATCGCTAAGTACTGTGGCTAGGCCAGGCTGCGGTCATGTGAATGGACTCATCACCGAGACCAGCTACACTGGGGAGGTGAAGACGTATGTGCTCTCTGCTACTTCCTGACACAGAACCTTCAGCAGCAGCAAGGAGCTGGGGTCAAAGGTGAATGCGGCAGGCTCCCTGGAAGCGGTTAGCACAGGTGGTCCTGAAGTGGGGACAGCTGCTCGGCAGCCACTGGTGCCCATGTAGAGCAGCCGTGGCCTCAGTTCTTCATCCCTCGCCTCACCTCTTCACAACCCTGTAAATCGTCTGTCCATTTCTTCCATCAAGGTGCCATCTTCACACCAGTGGGAAAATCACCCAAGCTTTCTGCTCTATTAATGCTGCCATCTTCTAAAGGAAGATAGTACAGCTAATTAAGGGGCAAAAACAAAAAACAACCCTTACTGAACAACTGCATTACTCAATGGGACAGAAGGAGGTATGTCTTCTAGGTTGTGGCTTTCTGACACTTTAGGGGATAATATTCAATAAATTGACTCTTTCTTAGGAGGTGTGGAATCCTGTGTCCCCCACTGTGCCCCCAGAGTAAGAATCAAGGCTAGATGGCTAGTATGAACTCCTAATGTCACATGAGCCATTGTGTGTGTTGGGGGTGGAGGGAAGGGAAGTAAAGGATAGGAAAGAATTAAGGCTTCAAACAGTTTTTATGAATTAACTCGGTACATTGAAACTTTTGGGTGAATGGTTGATAAAAGTGCCTCACACTTTGGGACCAATGGTTTAAAATAATAATAACAATAATAACATAATAATAATAATAAATTCAACGGCAGGAGAGAGGAAGTTCTGTCTATTCACGGCATTCCAAACAAGTGAGTTAAGCGTGACTCCAGCCTTCCCACGAGCAGCTCTCCTCTCTCACAGATCATTCCATGCAGTGAACACTCTGATGCCGGAGGAGGTGAGAGCTGCGGCTGAAGGTCTTCTGACACTCTTGGCACTCGTAAGGTTTCTCGCCCGTGTGGGTTCTCTGATGGATGATCAGCTGGGAATGCTGACTGAACGTTTTCTCGCATTCGCTGCATTCATAAGGTTTCTCTCCGATGTGAATTTTCTGATGGAGGAGCAGCTCGGCGTTATCCCAGAAGGTTCTGGCACATTCGTTACACTGGTGGGGCTTCTCTCCCGTGTGAATCCTCTGGTGGACGATGAGGTGGGAGGTCCGCCTGAAGGCCTTTCCACACTCAAAGCACTCATAGGGCTTCTCCCCGGTGTGAATTCGCTCGTGTCTCAGAAGTTCTGAGTTCCCCCGAAAGGCCTTCCCGCACTCCTTACACACATAGGGCTTCTCGCCAGTGTGGATCCTAATATGGCGAATAATCTCCGAGTTCTGGCCGAAGGTTTTCCCGCACTCATTGCACTCGTAGGGTTTATCCCCCGTGTGAATCCTCTGGTGCCGGATCAGCTCCGAGCTCTGGCCGAAGCCTTTCCCGCATTCGCTGCACAGATAGGGCTTTTCCCCAGTGTGAATTTTCTGGTGTCGGATGAGGCCCGAGCTGTGCTTGAAGGCCTTGCCGCACTCGTTGCACTCGTGGTACCTTTCCTCCGTGTGGATCCTCTGGTGCTGGATGAGCTGGGAGCTGACCCGGAAGGTCTTCCCACATTCGTTACATTCGTAAGGCTTCTCGCCGGTGTGGATTCTCTGGTGCAGAATCAGGGCTGAATTCTGACTGAAAGCCTTGCCACACTCTTCACACTTATAGGGTCTCTCTCCAGTATGAATTCTGTGGTGGTGGATGAGATGGGAGCTCTGAATGAAGGCCTTCCCGCATTCGTTACACGCAAAGGGCTTCTCTCCAGCGTGAATCCTCAAGTGCCTGCGAAGGCTTGAGTTCGTGCCAAAGGTCTTTCCACATTCTTTGCATTCAAACGGTTTTTCTCCGCTGTGAACCCTCATGTGCTGGATGAGGTGTGAGTTCTGATTAAAGGCTTTCCCGCATTCTTTGCATGTATGGGGCTTTTCTCCCACAGAACTTCTTGGTGTTTTGCTGCATTCTAAATTCCCTATGAAGTCTGGGCTAGGGGGAACCAATGTCCCAGCTCCCTCTGCTAGCGCAGCTCCCTGATGCATCACCAGGCTGGGGCAGGGACTGCAGCCTCCCTCACTCTCATGATGCTCACTGGAGGGTGATTTCTTAAAGACAACCAACCCTGATGCAAAGTCTCCGCTACGGGGAGACGTCTGCTCCATCCCCTCTTCCGGGGACTCTCTCAGATGCCCTTCTGCTACGTCTTCATCACAGGCTGCTACCAACCTGCGATGTGGGTAAACCGCCTCGGGGACTTTCTCTAACACTGACCCACGTGGCTCGTATTCTTCAGGACTCTCTTCCTTGGGAATCGCCTTCTTGTCCTCAGTCCCCATCTCACCATCTGCAATGAGAGAGGGTAAGCAGGTGAAGTGGCCCTGGCACGCGTCAAGGAAGCAAGTGCCACAGGGACACCGAGCTGGGCACAGCTCTTTCTGGCGGCGTTCAGACAGCGACGGTGTCAGCAGATGACAGGACACTGACGCAGGACCATGGTGGACATGCTGAAGACCAGATGCCAATGGCAAAGAGTGAGAGAAGGAGTAGAAGACACTTATGGGGAGAAACGGAAACGAATGATAAAGATACGCTGATAAAAGCACCATAATGTTAAAAGGAAGTGGGGTGGGGGGTGGAATCTGGGGCTTGGTTTAAAAAAAAAAAAAAGGAAAATGGTGGTCGTGTTAATAAATGAATGACACACAGAAAAGTTGGGACAAGGGACAAAAGCAACCTGACATGGTGATATAGTAAGCTAATCCTCCACTTGCTATGCTGGTATCTCATATGGGTGCCAGTTTCAGTCCTGGTTGTTCCACTTCCAATCCAGCTCCCTGCTAATGGCCTGGGAGAGTAGTGAAGGATAGCCCTCTGCACCCACTTGGGAGACCCAGAAGTCCCTGGCTCCTGGCTTCAGGTCGGCTCAGTTGCAGCTATTTGGGGAGTGAACCAGCGGATGGAAGACCTCTCTCTCCCTCCTAGTCCCTCCTTTTCTCCCTCTCTCTCTAACTTTTTCAATTAAAATAAATAACTTTTTAAAAAAATCTTTAAAAAAGTTGCAAGAACTCAGATTTACAGAGGAAGTCACCCCAAAATGAGCAGTAAGGAGAAGCACTCTTCACTCACTCCTGAGGCCCTCAGCAGCAGAGGACAGAGAACAGAGCAGGGGATGAGAGAGTTACACATCAGCTGTAGGAGACACTATCCTGGGCTCCCTACAATTGGGGGAAATAGAGTGCTAGCTTTAATTTTCTCCTGACAATTAGCTAATTATATCAGTACCACATATTAAATATGTAGTTGAATTAACATCTTTTTCATGTTTGGTATTATTTATTTGAAAGGCAGAGAGAGAGAGAGAAAGAGAGAGATCCTTTATTCACTGTTTTACTTTCCAAATGCCCACAGTGGGCAAGGCTGGACCAGAAGGAAGCCAAGAACCAGGACCTCAAATCATTTCTTTCCTTATTGTTTAAAAATGCCACCTGCATTACAGGTTTCATATCCATGTGTATGTGAACAAATTTCTTTTTCTTTTTAATTTTTATTTAACTTTTTACTTTATGATACGATTCCATAGGCAAGCCAATTTCTGAATTGCAATCAGTTCTATTTATTTCCTTGCTGTTTCCTGCTTTTTTGTCTCTGATTTCTCTATTCAACCTGATGTAGCCTTTTAAGGATGTTTGATTTATTGATTTGAAATACAGGGATAGGTAACTGTCTCATCCACTAGGGCACTGCCTCAAATGCCTCTAACATTGAGTACCCGGCCTGGATGCAGCCAAGAGACAGGAGCTCCCTCTGGGTCTCCCATGTGGGTGGCTGGAATCCAAGCACCTGGGCCCTTAACAGTTGCTTCTCAGGGTGCAGGAAGCTGGGATGGGGAATAGAACTGGGACTCAGGCTCGGGTACTCCAATGTGGGATATGGTTACATGAAAAAGCACTGTAAATGCCATACTCAATACCCACCACTGAAGCTTTATTCTCTAAGTTTTCTTTGTAGCTGGAAAACAAAAGCCAAACCAAGCCAAAACAAACAACCAAAAAACCCACCAGGATTAAAATGAAAGTCTACTGGGACATTTTCTAAGGCTGAGGTGGTGTACTTCTTTACTCTCCTCTCCCACACTGTTCCTCAGGTATGATGTGATGGTCGGGCCACCACTCTGGATCCCGACTACACCCTGGGCCAGGGATCAGAACTGGAAGGAAGCTCGCTTCATGTGACTCCACGGAGCTACCAAACCAGCGTTAGAATGCCGGACTCTGGATTCCTTTTATTGAAGAGAGAAATCAACTTTGGCCTCATCTAAGCCTTTTGTATTCCTGCCCTGGGGACTTGGCTGTCTCCATCACAGAAGTGGAGAATAAGTAAATGCTAGAACGAGCCTGACTTCCATTCAAGGGGAAGTCATAATACTACAGAGCTGATGCTGAAGTGCCCCTCTGCCTGTAGCCACGTGTTTGTACAACACAGCAAATCTGAGTACAGTCCTCTCGTCAGTACCTGTGTTAACACTCAACGGCAGATGCTCAAGTGAGGACCTCATCCTTTAGACAATGTAGAGTCCTGCATGGTTTTTAAGCCAAGTAGCGACATCGTCCCTGGCCAGGTTAGCTTTTTATGTAGATGCCCACTGCTACTAATGGCCGTACAGCAGTGGTAGCCCGAGAGGCCAGTGCTATGACACAGCAGGTTAAGCCACTAACTACAATGCTGGCATCCCTTTGGGTACTGGTTCAAGTATCTGCTGCTCCTCTTCCCATCCAGCTCCCTGTGAATGCACCTGAGAAATTAATGAGAGATGGCCCAAATTTTTGAGCCCCTTGGAGACACAGAAGAAGCTCCTGGCTCCTAGCTTCAGCCTGGAGCAGATCTGCCTGCTGTGGCCATTTGGACAGTGAACAAGCAGATGGAAAATCTCTCTCTCCTTCTCTCTTATTCTGCCTTTCAAAGAAAGAAAACTATCTACTTATTTATTAAAGATCGATTAAAATTGGAAAGCCAGATTTACAGAGAGAAGGACAGACAGAGAGAAAAGATCTTCCATTTGCTGATTCACTTCCCAAATAGCCACAACAACGGGGTTGAATTGATCCAATCCGAAGCCAGGAGTTTCTTCTGGGCCTCCCTCGTGGGTGCAGGATCCCAAGGTTTTGAGCCATCTTCTGCTGCTTTCCCAGGCCACAAGCAGGGAACTGGAAGGGAAGCAGAGCAGCCAAGATACAAATCAGTGCCTATATAGGATCCCAGTGCTTGCAAGGGGAGAATTAGCAATTGAGCCATTGTGCCAGACCCTGTTTTTATTAAGCCAAATCTAAGGAGGTCAGTATGGTAGCAGCAGGAGTGAGGATGAGGATTCAGACTAGAGAAGTATTTAAGATGTTAAATTCTACAAGAATTGGTACATGATTAGAACAGGTGTGAGAAAGAGGGAGGAGTGAAAAATGGTGCCCAAGCTCGCTTTACTTCAGGGATGGCTTGAGACGGATGACAGATTCATCAAAACTGGGAGTGATGGAGGAGGAACCAGTTTAGAAGGGAAGAAGATGATGAGCTGTGCTTCACCTAAGATTAGTTTCAAAATATCCACCCAGAGGTGTCAAAGAATCAGTCAAATCAGCTTGAAAGAGTCAGAGAGACAGCCTGGGTACAGTGGCAATTTTTGGAGTGATCTTTATACATGTCTCCTTCTGTGCCAGCCTCCAGTCATCCACACAAGGTTAGGTGGTTAGGTACCGCCATGTTCTAACCCTGGGGTCTCTCTACTCACCCACCAATCCAGCCCTAGTAACACCTTGCCTCCTCACACCCAGAAAAACCCCAAACTCCTCCTAGAATCCTGAAGTCCCAGAAATTCTTTTTACCCCTCAAAATGAGCTGGAATCGTCTTCAACTCCTTATCTTAGTATCATGTCCCATTTTTTTCATGGAGTTAAGAAAGCATACCCCAAACCGGATTTCTCTTTTTGCTAGATTTATGAAAATGGCACATGATCTATAACTGTGTAATTGTAAGATTTCATCACAAAGAATCTACCCATCTTCTCCATCTATAGTACTAGCTGAAGTGGGAACAATGGTCTTCTTTTAAAATAAATAAATACTTTTTCCTATTATTGTTTAAGATTTATTTAGTTTTTATTGGAAAGGCAGAACAAATTTACAGAGAGCAGAAAAGACAAAGAGCTTCCATCCACTGGTTCACTCCCCAAGTGGCTGCAATGGCCAGAGCTAAGCCAATCTGAAGCCAGGAGCTTCTTCCAGGTCTCCCATGTGAGTACAGAGTCTCAAGGCTTTGGACCATCCTCCACTGCTTTCCCAGGCCACAGGCAGGGAGCTGGATGGGAAGTGGAGCAGCTGGGACATGAACCGGCGCCCATATGGGATCCTGGTACTTGCAAGGTGAAGATGTAGTGTCTGAGCCATTGCGCTGGGCCTGATGTATGATCTTAAATAATTTTTTCTAATATTCAGCCAAAAAAAGAGTTCCACAGGTTGGCAGTGTCCGTCTTTAAAAGGCACTTCCAACTCCTTTTCTGGTCCTTTCCTTTTTATCGTCATGTCTCTCTTTTTTAATGTCAATATTGATTTCTCTTATTATTTAAAAATTTATTTATTTATCTAAAAGGCAGCTACAGAGGAAGAGGGGCAGAGTTGGCCAAAGCCAGGGGTTCAGCTTAGGGCGTGACAGGCAGATCTGCACTAGGTCTCCACAGGTCAAAACAGGGTTCTTAGCTCACAGGCCCGGGTTTGTCCTTTCAATACACCACGGGAGAGCAAGCTCAGACAGTGTCATTCACAAGATACAGATGTACACAGCAGATTCCCAGCTGTGAATTAATCATGAGAAATGAAACTTCGAAAGGATCACGCTGCCAATCCTTTGAGGAAGGCTGCAGGAAGCCTCTGGGACTCCCAAAGGAGCCACAGGAGGAGACATCCATTTGTTGCGTGGGCCTGCTGCTGCCATCCGCCCAGCAGTTTACCCAAGAAGGTAGGAGGCAGTGTTAGGAAAAGCAAGGCGAGAAGGAACTGGGGCCATCAGGTTACATCGGTCCAGAAGCCGCCAATCCTCCTGACTTCCAGTTATGATAGTTTATACTGCCTTCAGAACAGCCAACTCCTGCCTCCTCCCCCAAAGTCTTAGCCAACATCTGCAGCAAAAAGTGTCCCCTCCTGGTCCAATGCACTAACAGTGTGCTGGCTTGTTCTCCCCCCCATCTTTCTGGATGCCACTGTCACCCTATCACTTCCTGTGTACTGCTTCCCAAGGTCCACAGGATGCCCTCCCAGTCCATGTGACCCACGCCTGTTCCCTGGTCCGCTTTCTGTCCCACACTCTCCATTCCCTGCTGTAAGCTGTAGCCGTGCTGCGAGGTCCTGTAGTCCCTGTAGTCCCAATGCTTCCTATTGCTTAGACTTTTGTCATGGTTTCCACATCCAGCAGTACCACAGATCCACGGTCCACCGGAACCTCTCCAAGACTGAGCTCAAATCTGGACAGCTCTTTGCACCTGTAAGCAGTTTCCTTCTCTGGACCACAGGTTACTGCGACGTCCTACCAGTCTTGGCAATCCGAGGGTCCAGCACAACCAAGACGTCTGGTAAGTGTTAGTGTGTATGTGTAGCTGTCTTATCGATATGACATATCTGTGATGCTCTTTCAGGCTGACTGGATATGTCATTCATTCACTGTGGGTCCTGCTTTCTTACCCTCCTTTCTTCTGTCCTCCCTCTGGTTCCCACAATCAAGTGAGCTCTGTGAACTCTACACTCCAGCCCATCCCCTCTTCACAACCAACTCGTACAGGTCAACAGGATACCCCGTCTGCCAGCACAGGACACAATCGACTACGCGTCCTTGCGGGTTTTTTGGGGTTTTTTTTTTGCCAGGACCCACCATTTCTTCCCATAAGTTTACTTAGGAGCGGATGCCTGGGAAAACCACAGTGCCCATGGGTCCCCAAGCACGCGTCCTCCGCGGCTGACAAGGCAAGGACAGCAGCGCGGGGAGCGTCCCTGGGCAGTGTCCGAGCGCCACACTCTGCAGGTGGGGAGAGGGGACCCCGAAGGCCAAGGTCACACAGCTGCCCAGGGTCAGCAGCCGGCCCTGAAGCGCTTGTACTGGGCTTTCTGCTCGGCCGCGGGCCCGGCGCCCTTCTCCCCACCCTCCACCCCGCCCCTCGGGCCGTGACGGAAGGAGCCCGCGCCGCCCCCGTGCTCACCCGCCACGGGCTCTCAGGGCCGCTCCCGGTCCAGCAGCTGTGGCCTCGGCGTCACGGGCGACGGGCAGCGGCCACTTCCGGTACCCTGGGCGGCCCTGCAGCCAATCAGCGCTCGCCGCCCCGAGGAGTGGGGGGTCGCGCCGTGACCGCCGCCTCTCCGTGGCCAGCGCTGCCTTTCGCGGCTTCTCGCCCTGACCCGAGCCCCGCCCCGCCGAGTGGACTCCTAGGAATGACCCGGGGCCCGCAGGCCACGCCCACTTCAGCCCTGGGATCACAGAGGAGCTGGGTCCTCCGACTTTCCTAGAAAGGCTCTAGGGACGCACTTCCGCCCCGGGAGTGGCCGCTCTGCGCGCTGCCGTCGCTCCCCGATGCGTTTCTCCGGGTCGGGCATGTCGGGGCCTCTCAGTTGCCCAGCTTGTCCACTTTAAACGCAGACCACCTGCCTCTCCTGTCCTACCACGCCGGAGAACAGGCCGAGTCACCTCTGGGCACCAAGGAGGGGGGAGGACCTGTTTGTTCTGAAAAGTATTTAAGGAGCCATGTGTGGGCTGCAATCTGGAGGTTGAGCGAGGGCTTAATTAGGTTACACTGGAGTTCATCGTTGGACATGAGTGCCCAGGGCTGTAGCCACTGTCACATCCACGGCCCTGACCATCTTTGCTCTACCGTCTGCAGCTGCCTGGGAAGAGTTAACCCTGCTTCAGCCAAAATGTCTATTTGCCCTGCCCAGACTAACCCCCGGTGGGGGGGGGGGGGGGGAAATTTTAACATTTTGGAGAAGAGACCCAGGATAATGTCACTGTCTCTACTTTTCTAAAGGTCTTTCGCTTGGGCCCAGAGATCGTTTTCTATGTATTTGTCGTTTTCCACGGTTATTTCAACCATCTTCACTCTGTGCAAGCTTTTCTCCCAAGTGTGACCCGAGAGGATTCAATGACCGTTTCAGTCCTTGCCAGCTATGTTCACTCAAGGAAAGATGCCTACATCACGGGAATGTGCCCCCAGAATCGAATGTGGAAGACATTAATTCTAGTTATTTTATATATGTGTATATGAAAGGCAGACAGACAGGAAAAGAAAGAGATCTTCCGTCCTCTGGTTCACTCCCTGGGTGTCAGAAAGTCCCTAGCTAACCTGGGCTGGGCTGGTCTGGGCTGGGCTGAAGCCAGGCACCTAGATCCCCATCAGGGATCCAAGCACCCAGGCCACCTTCCTCTGCTCTCCCAAGCACATTAGTGGACAGCTGGATTGGAAGTGGAACAGTCAGGACCCAGGCTGGCCCTCTGATGCGGTATTCTGGGATCCCAGCGTTACTCACTGAGGTAGTCCCTGCAGCACAAGTGTGACCAGAGAAGACACACTTAGTTTAAAATGATTTCCCTCATAGGAGCAAAGATCAAGGGGAACATTGCCTTTGATGTGGGCAATGAATCTATTCATGTGCAATTTGGGTTCTCACCTCATAAAGAGATAAAAGTCCGAGGTGGAACAGGTTTTATTTAACAGCCAGGAAACAAACACACATTCACTTGCCAGTGTGAGTAGATGCCCCCCATGGAAACAGCAGGCCACAAGTTACTCAAAGGAAGATAAAACGAGAAGCAGTACCTCTGAGTGGGGTCCATGGTAAACAAAGACCCTTCCCCCACTCCAGCTCTTTTTATGAGGTGGGGAGTGGCAGTCCAACTGGCTATAAAAACAGGCACCCTGGTTCCAGGTGTACAAGGTGTGACCTAGGAAGGTGGGCTTATCAAACAGTTAAAAAGACAGGATTACATTACAAGGTACAGAAAGTCCCGCTGGCCTAAACATTAACTCACTGTCTAGTGACCCCTTATCTCCCCCACACAACGCATACACCTACAATACAGTCATTCCTCTGAAAGGCTGTGTTCTTTACACACAAGATTTCACTCTTACATGTGCAACACCAAGTCCCATGGTGGTTGTTGATACCTGTGGAGTTTGTTATATTTTGCTCCCGTTTTGAAAAATGATTTTAAGACTTAATTGAAAAAATTACAGAAAGAGGAGACACACCCAAAGAGAGAGCTCTTCTGTCTTCTGGTTCACTTCCTAGATGGCCACACAGCCAACTCTGGACCTCACCAAAGCAAGGAGATTTCTCCTGGGTCTCCCACAAGTGTTGCAGTGGCCCAAACACTTGGGCCATTTTTCAGTGTGTTTCCAGGCCATCAGCAAGGAGCTGAATTACAAGCAAAGCAGTCAGGACTTGAACCAGCACCTTTAAGGATGCCAGCATCAGAGATAGCAGCTTAACCCACTATGCCACAATGCCAGCCCCTTGAAGAATCATTTTTTACATGCATCTTTCCATAGTAATATTCACACTGTAGCCAGAAGCTTAAGCTGCCACTTGTGGCACAGTACCAGAACAACGGTTTGATCAGAAACTCCACTTCTGATGCAGCTTTCTGCTGATGTGCCTGGAAAGGGAGTATTTGGGCCTCTCTTCCACCTGCTATGTGGGAGACCCAAATGGAATGCCTATCTCCTGGCTTCAAGGTGGCCCTGTCCTGGCCAATGCAGCCGTTTGGGAAACAAAGCAGCAGATAGAAGACCCCTTGCTTTGACTCCCTTTGCCTTCTAACTAAATAAATCATTCACACACATACAAACTATAAAAACATTTTAAATGATAGCAGTACATTCTATCATCTTTATCATCTTTATTATCATGTTTTATTTTAAATAGACTTGTAATATATATGTATATATATTGCAAAGATAATACAGAAAGTTGAATAGACCTTCCACCTCAAATCCCCTATTAATAGGGTACAGGAATGGGTCCATGTGGCTCGGTATTGATACATCATTATGAACCACAGCAAACGCCTTCTTCAGATGTCCTTAGAGTTATTACCTACTGTCTCTTTCTGTTCTGGGATCCCATCCAGAACACCACACTACACTGAGTCATCGTGTCTCTGCACACAGCCTCTTGACTACGACAGAACAGTACATTTCAAGAGACAGTACAATCTGTAACATCACCACAGGAGGCTCAGCAGCAGATTGGTGCCACTGCCACGGCTCCCCATACTCACAGAGCCAGCAGGCGCGTCTTGGCATTCACCGCAGCCCTGGAGGGGATCCTTTCCAGCTTCCTTCACGAGCTTTCCGATCGTTGTCATTTGCTGGGCTTGTCTTTATTTCAATTTACATTTGACAAGGTGTATTTGAGAGAGACACACAGACATTGACTGACTGACTCACTCCCCAGATGCCTACAACAGCCTAGCCCAGGCGGGGTCAAAGCAGGAAGCCTGACAGGCAATCCAGGTCCCCCTGTACACATGACAGGAACCCAATCACCTGAGCCATCACTGCTGACGCCTGGAGTCTGCATTAGCAGGAAGCTGGAGTCCAAAACGGGAAAGGAACACAGATACTCCCTCCAACGTGGGACGACGGCATCTCAACTGCAGCATCACATGTTCCGTGTTCCACAGTTTGAATGTAAAGTGGACTGCTATTACATGCATGACAAGGGCTCAACATCACATACAGTCACAATACCACGTCCAAGGACACCACACTGATAGAAGGCTGGGAACCCAACCCAGGATGAGAGAGAACTCATTGTATTTATTGGGGCCAGCGTGACGGCTCCACTGGGTAATCCTGTGCATACAAGCGTCAGCATCCCATACAGGTGCTAGTTTGTGTCCCAGCTGTTCCACTTCTGATCCAGCCCCCTGCTTGTGGCCTGGGGAGAGCAGCAGAGGATGGCCCTAAAACCTTGGGACCCTATATCCATGTGGGAGACCCAGAGGAAACTCTTACCTCAGCATTCTGAAAACTAGCTGAACTGGGACACCACCAGCACTATAGGCAGCAGCTTATATTTCTGTGCCACAATGCTGGTCTCCATCACCACATTTAATAGCGCAGCTTAGATATGCCCTGATTCTCATATTACAGGTACCTTAGAGTTACCTTCAGAGAAAAAAAAAACTTGATGCCCACCTGTTAGTGTGCCACAGCTATCATGGCAAGAGGTTCCTATGATGTTTATTCTCTGTTGTGGTGGTTTTTGTTTTTTTGGGGACAAAAGGTTCTTAACAATTTATCTCTCATGAATCTGAAAGATGGATGCCTAACAGCAAGGTGCTGGCAGGTCTGCATCCCTGAGGCCTCCTCACAGGGTCCTCACGGGGTGCTTTCTTGGGGTGCTTCCTGTATAGGGCCATCTTGGTGTCTCTTCCTCTTGCCAGGAGGCTCCCTTTGGATTGGGCCCCATCCTTAGGGTGTCCTTGGGCCTGAGTTGCCTCTGCTAGGGCCTCATTTTCAAATACGGTCCCACTGAGAAGGCAGGGGTAGGGCTTGAACAGCAATCTTAGGAAGACCGGTTCAGTCGATACCATCTTGCCCTATCCTCGATCAGTTAAAGTAAATGGGGAGGGGCGAATGAAGAGGGAAACAGACTTGGTCGTTTTAAAAGAGCTTTCCTGGGTTAAAAAGCACCAGTGAGTGCCTGTACTGTGGTGTAGTAGATGAAACCACTGCCTGTGATGCCGGCATCCCACATGGTTGCCTGTTTGAGTCCTGGCTGTTCCACTTTCCATCCCGTTGGGGGCTTTGGCAATTTCCTGCCCTGTGATTGGCCCTTTGCCCTGATTGGTGTGCCTTGGTGATCTTTAAGCTGATTGGACAGGACTGACATATAAGCCAGGGGCTTGATGGGGGAGGGGCTGGAGTGTAACGGACATAACGGTTTTTAACGGAAGATCGGAATAAAGCGCCTCTGAGACTCTCTCAAGTGTCGGATGATTTCTTCCGCGGGACGGGAGGACCCCCGATACATCCACCTCCCAGCTTATACTCTGAGAAAGCAGAGGAGGATGGCTCCACTCTCTGGGCCCCTGTGGAGAGACCCAGAAGAAGCTCCTGGCTCCTGGCTTTGAATTGGTTCAGCTCTGGCTCTCGTAGGCATAAGGGGAATGAATTAGTAGATGGAAGACCTTCTCTTTCTGTCTCTTCTTCTTTCTCTCTCTATAAAATCTGCTCTCTTTGTCCTAAAGCCTTGGGACCTGCATATGTGTTGGAGACCCAGAAGAGGCTCCTGGCTCTTGGCTTC